CGTGGGACTGGCCTAAAGCTCTTAAAAACCTATTTTAAAAATTCATATTCCTTAAGAGGGCCATTGCTTAATGGTGGGCCTAATGACAAAGGAAGTCTGCAAATGATATTCTGACAATGTGAGCTTGTGCATTAGCTCTTGAAAAAAAACCACGTGATTTTTTAAAGTCACTGTAAAGTGACTCACTTCCTCCTCCTCCACCATATTAATTTAGTGTCTCTTGGGAAACACAGTAGTAGCATCACATTGCTTTTCTTGCTCAGAACCAGTGCATGCAGGTGACTTGATCCTACCACTGCTGAGGCCAACAGTACAATGTTCTTGCATTTCAGTGGGGGTAAGATCTTTAAAGGGTTGATACAGGAAAGTAAAAGCAAGAATCTGCCCCTAATGCCTTGGTGTGGCAGGGAAACTCTCCAGTCCTTATTGCTTTCCTTGGTCCGTAGCTCAGACTCCACCCTAGATTCATTGCTGTCCTGACTAATTTTCCTCTGTGTGTTTATAGAGAATTCATTGGTCCAGAGTATTGCTGTATTGGTCCAAATGAGAGGCAATTCATGCCTGACCTCTATGCATGAGAATGAATCCCTTAGGTGATACAGCTGTTTGGTAGCAGTGGTTCTCTTGGAGCACTCTAATGGCATATGCATTGCCCTACGGGAGACTGAGCTCTGCAGAACGAAAGGTAGCTCCTCCTCTTCTGAATGTTGTAAACCTCAGCAGGCATAAATTAGGATGTCTTGGACAGACCTGCTCCCTGTTTATGCCAGCTGCAGGCACAGTGTATACATGAAGGGCTATTTCTTGAGCAGTATGCAATGGGCTGCCTCACATCCTGATGGACAGGAGCAGGGAGAGAGAAGCAACTTATTTAGCTTACAGCAGTATGGAGTGCCTCACGTCATCCTTGCTCATTACTGATCCAACCATCTCTCCTGGGGAGCGGTAACCTCTCCTGGATTTGGTGTAACTGGTAGCTAAGCTAGCAGAAACCAAAGTGATAAAGTCTAACAGAACTTCAGTAATAAAGTCTTGGCAGTAGGAAGCCAGAAGCAACTGAATCTCCTTAACTCTGAATTTATCCAGGTCAACATTTCTCTGGAGTGTGTCAGACATTACTTTTACCTCTCTTAAATGCCTCTTTTCTTTTACTAACAGCCACCACTGGTATCATGTGGTGCATATGGCTGGCAGACCTCTTGGATCTATCCCCTGTCGATTTAATGAACTCTTTGTAAGCATACTTGAGTTCTGCATTTTTCTTGGAAAAGGTCTAGGATTTTGACAGACAGCTTAAAGAAAGCTTCTCCTCAGTGCTTAGTTGTGATGATCAATGCAGTAGAAGAGACGGAAAATCATGCAATCCACATAGACAAGGCAGAGATGGGTGGGAGGATGGGGAAAAGGAAAGCATCAAATGAAGTGTTGGCCCATGGTCACTTATAAAGCCAAATATGGAGTAGAGGGCTTAAGAATGCCGTGCCTGCTGCCACACACTGAACTGCAGGTATAAATCCTCACATGACAGACCACTAATTAAGAGAAAAGCATCTTCAGAGGCTGTTGTATCGTATGCATGCTCAAGACCAGGAGAATGACTCACTCTGTCTAGCTCTATTGGTTAGAAGGAGAACTTAGATGGGTCACTTAGGCCATGTGCTCAACTTTTAGGTGGATAGGGTTAGTAAAATGGCTTACACCTCCTGTTATTTCTTTCTTTGAACTATTTGTTTTCAGCCACAGCTCAGACTAGGCGATTGTTCCTGGATAGTATTCCCCCCGCCCCGCCCTGCTTTTTTTCAGGAAACTGTCTGATGTGGAAAGAAATATTATCAGGACTAAAGAAACACAATTAAATCAAGAATGATATAAGTTCTATGCACTCAGACCTGCCTGCAAGCAGCAGGCGGCTGGGGATGCTGGTTATGGGATATGAGATCTTATCCTGGGTAAGCAGCGGGTAGAGTGTGGGTCCTGCTCAGGACTGGGGCTATCACTTGGAGGTCTCTGCTGGTGTGATGAAGCTGAGCCTGGCCCAAAGTAGAAGAATGGAGACGATCCTCAGCGCAGAGGCCAGGCCCATTGATCCCTGATGTGTCCATAAATGGATCATTTCTATATCTCACTAGTAAATACAGAGAGTTCTTCAGTTTTGTTTGTGGGCAGATGATAGATGCAAGTGTTGATTGTATGCATAGAGATTTCACGCTCTGCAAACAGTGCACTATATCACCTGTTTCATAGGAGGAAAAAAATAACAGACTGCCAAGTGTCTACAAAACACCATCTGGTAAGTGTCACAGCATCAAGCTGTGGAAGTATTGATTGGGCTCACAAGTTTAGGCAAAACAAGGGGATAATGATATAGCCAACTGATGTGCAGCTTAGGAAGCCCGATTCAGAGCCCAGTGTCCCTGTAGGCTCCTTCTGTGTGAATCCAAGCATGTAACAGAAGTGCCATTAGCGCTTCCCCGTGGTGTGACACACAACCTAGGAAGCTGATGTCAGTCATTCCCCAGTCTCTTCAGCATAGGCAACTGCTGGGGGCTTCTGTGGGGCAAAACCAGAACTTTGAACCCCCCCTCAGTACATGCAGTAGATGTCTTCTTGTCCAAGGCATATATGATGCTGGATGCATTTCCACTCACCTTCCTCCTACTCTGCTGTACAATGGGAGAAGTAAACCATTCTGGTATCAGAAAATGAAGAACTATCCAGAGACCTGTTGTTCCTGTAAGATGCAACCGAAAGAAGAGTCAGTGATGACTTACAAAAATACCTGATTACAACTCTAGAGCGACAGAGAAACATCTACGTGCATTGTGGACTTATATGGCAACAAGGGATTATATTCTGCATTCCTGTGGTGTCAGGAAGTGAAGAAGATTGCATAAGTCTCTTAACAGTGTTCATAAACATATGTCTATATGGAGCCATTCTAGTAGCCTCCCTGAATGAATATTGTACCTTATTGGGAATGTCTTGTCCCTGCAGGGATGCAGGTTGGGACCAAGTGCATTATTGGGACTATGTATGCATGTAACAGCTTTGACCAAAGATCTCTCCACCTGATTTCTCTGTCAGAAATTACTCAGTCAACATGAATATATTGTACACATTTAGAGTAACAAAATCATTATCTTAGTATGGAAACAGGTATTCCCTGAAACTCCTTGGAAAATCAGTACCTGAAGCCATACAGGGCCCGTTAGCAGATGCTTACAAAAGAATGTAAGGACTGAGGCAAGCTTATAGTGATATTTTCTTCCAGCTTCCAGGAATATCAGCTCAGGGACACCCTAAGACCAAGTCTTATCTTTGAATCAATAGCTCCTGATGGGTTTTCCTTCCATGAACTTTTTGAACCCACGGGAACTTTTAGCATCCACAGCAGAGCCAGTCCTAATTCTCAGACAAGACCAGGGGAGGCCAAGCCTTACAACCATGAGGGAGAGTTCTATCTGTGAACTTTATTTACCACTACTCAAATGTGCAAAGGCAGACAAGAACAACACCATCCTTTTAAAGATTTTAAAATATCTGAATTCTTGAATCTATTGGTGAACTTGAAACTGCTCCAGGTTCTGAATTACCCCTCTGCAATGTAAACATGCCAACATGTGCTGTTAAATCAGTTTTATGCAAGCAGATAGAGATGGAGGTAGGGAGGGAAAGGGTACAGGGGCTTTAGTTCGTCTAGTAACCCCTGCCTCCTGCTTTAGCAGAGAAACCCTAGTGACTATGCATTTCCAGCCCAGCGCTCTGGCCCCCGAACCCTGTATGGCAAATGTAGCAGACCTGCTTCACCCAGGTTCACTGGCCAATTGCAGGGGTTTCCAGTGCCAGAGGGAAGCCCGGGAAAGAAACCGCTGCTCTCTGCAGCTGCACTGCTGGCTTGTAGCATGCGAGCCTAGGTGGGGAAAGCAGGCTGGGAGCCCAGACTTCCCACTTTGAACTAGGGCTGTGTTTGCCCCAGCGAGTGAGTGGCTCTGCCCTATTTACCAAGGAAAGAAACTGGTACAAAACTGCCATAACAAACCTGAGCATCTTTTGAATCATATATTTTTCAGCACTCTTTCTCCAGTGGTGTAGAGCTTTGGTTTGAGCGATAAACAGAACCCATGGCATATACAATTGCTAAAGTTCAGATTTGCATCACAGCAGATATGCAAATGCTTGAGAAGTCACCAAAACTCTTTTCTTGTTGGCTACCTGCCTCTGCATGATTGCATGACTTTGCATGAGTCACTGTGGAAATAAGGCTCCTGTCTTCAGTTGGTACAGTCTAAGATTAGGCAAAGCACAGGCAGAGGTGTGTGCATATCTGCAACAGAAACTGAACACAATAGGCACACGGAAAAAGTGTGGTACCTGGGTGCTTATGTCTGCCCATGAGTTTTCTGGGCAATTTTAGATGCAGAGAGTCTTTAGCTAGAAAGAAACCTGCAAATCTCATTGCAGTCAGTTTTCAGGAGTTTTTGCCCACCTTCAGTGAAGCTTGTGCTAGTGTAATTTCCTTGGCACCTCCCCGCTTTACACATGCAAATAAGACAAGCCTCGAAACTTTGCTTGCAGTGTAAAATTGACCACAAATGGGTACTTATATGCTATCACATCTCTGAAGACATGCGATTCAATGCTGTGTAACTGGTTTCCAAACTTCTGAATGTCCCAGCCGCAAAGTTTCAAAAAGATTAATCAAGACGTTCTTTTGACTTCAACATGGTAGGTATAGAGAAGTGACTCTATTCTGATGAGCTGTACATGCAGTGGTTCACTGCTAGGGGTAGTGTCCAAATGAACACAGATTAAAGAAGCAGAAAATGTGCTTGAATCTGCAGACTGAAGGCTTTTCTCCTTGACGCAGCGCTGACTAACCATTTCTTCTGATGCCTAAAGCATGTGACGATACAGCCACAGATAAGCACCAACTGTTGTGTGCACAGTAGTCAATAAATTGTCATCAGACTTTCCCTTCAGTTTAACTTTTATTAAAAGAGGTGCTAAGGTACTGTACTGTATGCAGTACACCATATTTATTACCAAAATTAACAAATATACAAAACTTATACATGTAATTTTCTTACATCCATTTATTGGTCTATAATACTGCATTTGTTCAAGTAGGTTATCTACAGTATGTAAACATCCCTTGGATTGACCTTACACAGATTAGGAAAGCCCATCTAACCCATGTAGTTACCAAATATAGCTTTTTCTTTTTTTAATTTTATTTGGCTTTCATTGGTAGAATCTAATCTTCACATTTGGCACGTGGAAGAGACATCTACAGTGCAAAAGAGGCAGATTTTCTGGTTTTGTTCTGAGCAGTTTAGCAGTGTCATGGTTTTAAAGAGCTGAGGGGAGAATAAATTTACACTAACTTGATAGGAGATGGATTAGTGTTAACGTCAATGACTCATAGATCAGCCTTTAAACTAGAGCAGAAATTCAAAGCCTCTTCCCCGGCCCTCTCAGCCAGGTGGAAAAAAACTCAGCCTTGTTTCTAAAGGATTAAAAAAGGACTCTGTTAGCACAGAGGAAGTTTAGTTTACAAAGAGCCCTCTCAGATTCCAGTTTCAATTTTCCACTTTGTGTTTTCTCTCTTTTGTTATCAAACAAGGTTTTTTTTCTTTTAAATAGGGCAAAAGTAACTAGTTGGGAACCACTTTTTTGTGCTGGCAATTTCTCAGTGAGTTGGAGATTACAATTGGAGTTTACAGATCTTTGTACCCAGATGTATAGAACTCAGTAAGCTGCCACGTATAAAAGAGAGAGAAAGAGAGAGAGAAAAAGAGTGAGAGAGAGAGAGAGAGAAAGAGAGAGAACAATGTCATTATATTCCGGGAGCGGAGCTTCCAAATTTTGCTGCAAAACAAGAAAAATGTTCTTCCTTTTGTTTCTCCTTGTTTCAAAATGTGACTTAATTTAACTGAGTAAAGCTGATCCACAGAGACCTTCATTCACACCCTTCTTCCCATTCTCATTCAAGCACCGTATTGCTATTTTAGGAGGCCTCACCAACGTCCATGGAAGCATCTGATGAGAATGGACCTAATCGGGCATTGTTTCACGTAGAAACCTCTCTGTAATTCCTTGTTCGTTACCACAGAGCCCCGCTGCTGTCTGTGGCCCCGTACATTTCAGCCAGCTTTTTAAAGCGTGGCCCCCAGTCTGTCAGGTAGTCGTAGCTCTGGTCTGAGTCTGTTGTGACTGACTGTAGGGAACTGAGCGACTCTGCCACTGAGCCGTTCCCTTCGAACATGTACGTCTGAAGGGAGTCGAAGGGAGGAGCCCAGAGGTCCATGTCAGCTTCGTACAGCTTGGCGAGCACGTAGTTGTGGACGTTGTTGTCCATCACGCATGTTTGAGGCACGTATCTGGAGAGGCTCTCTATTTCAGGGAGCATGTCCTGCCTGTTTTTCACCACAAGCTGGGCTTCCCGTGGGTTCCACATGGCAGCGATATCAAAGGCCTCCGTGTCCTCTTCCCCACCACCTTCGTCGTCATACCTGACGATGTTCTCGTGGATATTCTCCTCCTCGTCGATGACGTATGGCTGCTTCCGGTGCCGCCTCATGGAGAGGATGAGGAGCACCAGCACTGTGGGAGGCAACCAAGACACAGGACCGTTAGCAAGAGGGTAGATCTTGCTCTGCTCAGTGGAGGGAGATGGGGCTACCAAAATGCACTCCAGCAACGGGTTTAAACTGTCTGCTGCTCCATTCTCCCCAGTGAGCCCCTTGGATTTGAAGAGCTGTGGTGTCTACAGGGGGAAGGATGTAGAAATCTGGACTCCCCCAAGCCAAAATTAGTACCTTGAGATCCTGCTAATCTGTCCCTTTTCTCATCATAATTCTTAAATCTTGGTGATGCTTAGGACATGTCTAGCCAGAATTGTTTGCTGTGCATTACAGAGATACTTGAACTACTTTTAAATCAGCCAGATCAAGTATCAGTAGGAGTTTATCTGCAGTGGCACACAGCTCTATAGAAGTCAATATTTTCCTGCTTTGGAGCTGGCTTTTGCAGCCCGCTTTGGGAATATGTCTTGCACTGGGCTCTGCATCTGACAAAGATGGAGGAATGCTGACCTGGTGATGGATGGTGCCTAGGCATCATGGTGATATATCTATCTATCTACATGGCAAAATGCAAAGCTAGCACCTTCGGCTGCTCCAAAGCGGTTCTTGTTTATCTGCAAGGCGCTGACTTGGGATGAGAAGATCTACTGTGGGTTGCTTAGCAATATCAAGATGAAGATATCTTCCTGTGCTTCTTAGCACAGGAAGAGCTGATCATACAGGTACCAAGAAGCCTTTATTATTAGAAGCCTTTACTACTGGAAATGTAAAGTCACCTGGTGACCATATATCCAGGGCTAGAACTCAGCAAGGGTTTTAAATGCTGAAATTTTGGACTGAGGTATCTAAGCTTATTCATAAAGCCAAAATTGAGGTACTTTGAAAGCACTTGTTCTCCACTGCTCCTCAGACTGAACCCTCTGAAATTTAAGGGTACGTGTCTTTTGAAACAATATCTCATGAATCAAGAAAGTGAACAGAGGAGCTGAGGTTCTCTCTGTACTTACTGCTAGCAGAGAAAATAGAAGGTATGGGCAAGGAAAGGACGAGATATATTTGTGGAGATGGAAAACCTGCAGGATGCTCAGCCCTTTTGCTATTCTTGAAATAAGAATGATGATATATTATGGAGATGGGACCATATAATGAACGAGATAACATAAATTTGAATAAAATAATGGAACTGGGAAGGTGCAATAATACCCATAAACTTGTAAATTAAGCTCCAGAGCAACTGAATTCAAGGACTTTGAAGAGTTTTGCACCAATCTGTGTTTGTGTCAAAAACCCAATTCTTTATCAAGAAGGCCTTCTCCTGTCCTACAGTGCAAAGTTTCCTTCTTCCTCCCCTGAAGAAAGTCAAGGAGAATGTGGGATTCAGTCAAGAAACATGTGTCCATATAAGGATATCAGAGAGGTTTGCCTTTAGCTCTGTGTGGTGTTGATTTCCTGTGAACACTTTTAGATATACAAACACCTCTTTAACTTCACCTCCCATGAATGCGAGGACTTCATAACAGCACAGGCATCATTTAAATGTGTTTTCTCAAGGGAAAAAAAAAGGAGGGGAGATATCTCTTGCCAAAAGGAAGCAAGAGGCAGAACAGGATTTACCATTCCTGTTTCCTGTGAGAGGGTAAGATCAGAAACTGCTGAGGGGGGTAACCTGTCCCCAGCAATAGCTTTCATTACCTCCTCCCAACATACCCCTTCCTAGATAGCACTGCTGCACCAGGCAGCTTTGCGCTTCAGGGCTCTGGTAGAAATATTTGCAAGCCATATTTGTCACCTTTTCCCATGTCCCACAGTCTGAAGTCACAGGCAGCTGACTACATCCTCTGTTCCTTGGCCTGCTCCTTTGTGTATGTGTGTGTCAATAAAACATATGCATATATTTATGCATATGTGTGTTTATATATACTTATGTATATGTATATACGCACACATATGTATATGCACACACATACGTATAGCCTTCACCTTCTGTGGATCAGAAAACCCTTGTCCTGAATAGAGGAACTTGCCCCCTCCCAAGAAGAAGCCAAGGGTTTACCTAACAGGACAAAGATGCAGGCAAGGATTGCAATGAGTGCCCCTCTGCTCAGGCTGACAGGGAGGACGTAGGCTTCAGCAGTGCAGGACATCACCATGCCATCGTCATCACAGCTGCACACGTGCACAGTTAGGGTGCCCGTACTGCTCAGCATGGGGCGGCCGTTGTCGCTAATCAAGATGGGTAGGTAAAATGTGTTCTGTTCGTGCTGTCTGAAGCCAGATCGCCTTGTTAAAATCCACGCTGTATTGTCTAGGGGTGGGAAATAAATGGAGAGGAGAGCTTATTTACAGAGTAAATACATTCAGCAGAAAAGGAAGGTCAAAAAAATCAGCCCTAGACCCACATCCATTTGTTCTCTCTCTTTTTTCCTTTGCTTTTCATCATTTTATCACTAATCACAGAATCACAGAAAGGCCAAGGTTGGAAGGGACTTCTGGAGACCATCTAGTCCAACCCTCTTGCTCCAGCAGGGTCACCTAAAGCACGTTACCCAGGACTGTGGGTAACTGGCTTTTGAGTATCTCCAGCGAAGGAGACTCCACAGCCTCTCTGGGCAACCTGTTCCAGCGCTCTGTCACCCTCCCAGGAAATAAGTTTTTCCTCAGGTTCAGATGGAATTTCCTGTTTTTCAGTTTGCGTCCATTGCCTCTTGTCCTACCACTGGGAACCACAGAGAAGAGTCTGAGTCAAGAGGCCCCATCCTGTTGACACCCTCCCTTCAGGTACTCATGCACATTGATCAAATCGCCCCTGAGCCTTCTCTTCTCCAGGCTGAAGGGTCACATCTCCCTCAGCTTTTCCTCATAGGAAAGATGCTCCAGTCCCCAAATCATCTTAGTGCCCCTTCGCTGGACTCACTCCAGGAGCTCCATGTCTCTCTTGTACTGGGGAGACCTAACCAACATTTTGCCTCTGCTTCCCCTGTTCCAACATCTCAAGGCATAGCTGTGAGACCTGCAAGGCATACACACCTTACGAGTTGCCTTTACCCTTTGTGACATAAAGTGCCCAGAGCAAACTCACAGCCTTTAGATTTAGCTAAAATAGCTTTCAAAAGGCAAGACAGAAATAAACAATTAAAGGCAACTTGTTGTTCCTGCTAGCAGCTTTTTAGACCTCACTGTTGAGCTGCCACTATTTTGGAGACGTTTGTGTATAACCCTTGGGGACATGTTAAGTTTCTCTTTATGTTCTTTGATGCCTGGCTTGTTTTTCACCCTGTTCCTGGAAGACTTCTCAGGCAAGCTGACCAGATCTTTCTGAGCCCATCTGCTTGAGGCAACAAGAAGAAAATAATCAGCTTGTTATCCTAAAACAGCAACGAGTTGAAAATCTGCAACTAAACACTTTTCAGTCAAACACATGCAATTTCACTGGCCCTTTGGCCACTGGAAAAGTCAGAATGCTTCATTTCCTCACTATCAGAATTATGCTGCTTGGATTTGATCGTTCTACTTCATTTAGTGCGGCCATCTGCTTAACATAAAAACATGAAACAAAATGGTTCAAAACAGTGTTACTGAAACAAAGTATTAAGAGAATAATCAAACAGCAAATTGCTTTGAAATTTCATTTCAAAGGAAATTCCTACCTTTAGGGCTTTTCCTCCATGTTCAGCATATTTTTTTTTACATGCCAGAATTCCCTAGTGGCATTGGAATTCCTGTCTACCCACTCCCTCAAACTCCTCAGTGCAGACTTGGCACTGAGTTTCCCAATTAGAAAAAAGTTGAATTTAGGAATTTGTTCCCAATTCTCATCTCAGAAATGCCAAGGAAAGTCCTTTGGAGATCAGTGATGACTTTACCAGTGCTGACTTTCAAGCTTTGTGGCCTCAGAGACTTTTGGAAGGCGCTAGGCTGAAACAGAAACATAAGGCTGAATGTCTCCTGTGTGATCCGTGCCACTAGAGGTAAGAAGGAGCCTTAAGAAATGTGCATAAAAGTTGGCCTTCCTTACAAACATGTTTGCAGGTCTTGGGACAGCAAAGATAAATGGGAAACAAAGGTGCTTTTTCTCTTTGGCAGACCTACAGGCTCTGATCTATTTTTATGAATTGAGCCTCATGCAGTTTCTTTGACTACTTGAATTTGTTTCCTGTTTCCTTGGTTTAAAAGAGGTCACAGCCTGGCCATCTGCACCTTCAGGTTCTTAAGGATGTGCATTTACTGTGCTAGGGATGCAGGAAGCCGTCAGCTACTCCTGGGTGGTTTGGAACAATGGAGCTGCTGTGTGGAAATGACAAGAAACCTTCTGATCACAAGCAGATCATGAAAAAAAAAAGTTTAATTTTCCATTATATTTCCATGTCTATTCACTGCTAAAATTTAGAACCTAAGTGAGTTTCATCAGTGCAGAGACTCAAGTTACTTGCAGGTGAATCAGCTTTATTATCTGCTGTAGTCTGAACATCAGAAAATATTTGATGGCCTTTAGGAGTGAAATGGTCAGGAACATTCTAAATGGCCAGTTATGGAATATATGCAAAGACAAGTTAGACTTGCTAGACTTGCCCGCTAGACTTAAATTATGCTGCAAGTTCCGCGCTTCTTGCTGCAAATCTTGTGGCATCAGACACTACTGGCACACGTAAGTCTACACAATTCATGAATTGGTTTAAATTTGTGATATGATGTTTTTTAAAGCAATCTCAAGCTCTTTTCTTTCTTGTACTTTGATGTACTCTTGGATTCCCATGAGTCCTGGGTGTGCTGCAGATGGGAGCCCTTGCCTCCTGCAAACATCCATCTCCTCTCTTCTGTGCACACCCAAGTCCTTTCTCACCTGCAGGCTGCTTACACGCTTCCTAGCGTGTGCTCCCCAGCAATTAAACCCACATCTTTTCAGGGCTGGGCCTGTTTTAGTACCTGAAAAAGCAGCCCAAAGGGCAGGAAATGGTGACATGGCTGGATTTATGCTGCGTCAATGGAAACGTCTGAGTCCCCTTGGCAAAAAGATAAACCATGGAGAAGTTTGGTTGCATTTCTCTTTCCTGGGTGAAAAAAATTCTCGCTTTATAATAATTTACAATAAAAGTCACAAATTCCATTCAGGTGACAGAAAACCCTCATTTTATGTGAAACTGCTCTTTGTGAGGGAAGAAGTATTCATTATTCTGAGCTGGTCATATTTTGCTTGTAAAAGAAGTCATAGGCAGTGAATCTGACTGAAATTGTGCAAAATCAGTTAGTGAGAGGTCTCAAGTGTTTCTAACCTTAATGCTTCTTTGAGCTGAAAAACAAGTTTCTATAATCAAGTGTTGAATATTTTCTTTTTCTTTTTTTTTTCTGTGATGGCTGACAATATTACCCAAATCCTTAACTATTCTTGCTGATATAATTCCCCTTGGGGACTCTCAGCATCCTATTTCCACCCCTTTGCTTTTGTTTTGCTTTGTCCTAGGAAGGCATCCAAATTATCCCTAAACAATTACTCTACCCGTTACTCTGCAACTGCAGTATGTTGGTGCCAAATCTTGTTGTGTGACTCTTCAAAAGCCAATGCGATTTGATGTAGTACTACAGTGCAAAGGACATGCTGGAATGTGATGTGGCATGGCAGAAACTGGAATACACAGTTTCCTTCCAGACTTTATATCTGCTAAGCCCCAGCCATTAAGAGAAGAGGGCTTATGAGCACATGAAATTCCCATTATAAAAAAAAATAAGCAAGCATAAGAACACACAATATTTTTGCGCCAAAGATTTCCATGCAGAGTCTTTGGCTCACAGAGGAGGAGATGGTAGCCTTCAGCTGCAACGCTGAGCAGAAACACTGAGGAACCCAGAGTGGCTGGTCCCACACCCCTGTGATCAGGAGGAGCATGAAAACCAAACTTCCTCTTACTGTGCAGGCTGGTGTCTTCATGTGGTTGGGAGAGCAAGCCATGGAGCAGCTCCTTCCTGCCATTTTCTGCCCCATTGGAAGTGATTTGCCTCCCTGGAGAGGTCAGGGGGAAGTAATCACTGTGTAGGTTGAAACGCAGAGAACAAAGCTAATCTTTGCTCCTGCCATGAGAAAGGTTTCATTTCTTTTGCATGAGTCTATCCAAGAATTGGTGATGATATTGCCCACAACTTCTGTTAGCTTTTTAAAACTAATTGTAAAAATTATGATCAGTAGAAAGAAATATTTTACCTGAAGTGAGAGAAAGAGTACAGGGAAGCAGATATTCCAGACATCATCAGCTTGAGGAAGGGGTTGTATTTTTTCTTAGGGATTTTCAGCTCATTATTTTTGTTCTCTGTCTTGCCAAAGTGTGAGGTAGACCTCAATTTAAAGGAAGGGAAGAAATAGCTAACAATTTTTGTAGGACAAATTTAAATGCAATGGGAAAGGCCGCCAGTGATTTGCAATGACATGTCTGACAGTGATACGGCACTGACACCCGCACCCATTAATATGGCCACACTCTCCATTAATTCCTTTTCCCCAAAGATAGAGGCCAGCAGTTTAAGGGTCAGCAGAAGAAGATCAGCTCAGAATTTAATCTGAAATGCAGTAAGCTTATTTTGTTGTTCATCCCATTCTTATAGCAAAATGGTTGTGCCAATTTTTTCCCAGCATGATCTCACGTGGATTTAGAAGGGGAGGAAGACAGCTCTGCCAAAACCTGGATCGGTAACCTAAGTGCTGGGAGACCCCAGTTCAATTCCCTGCTTCATCACACATACCTTGTATGGCCTTGGGAAGTCATTTAGGCCGAGATCTTTGCAGTTACTTACATGTTTAGCTCCTACTGATTTTACTCAACTCAGAGGGAATCAGGGATTTAAGTAGCTTAATTTCTCCTTTCCCCATGTCTCCATCTATAAAGTGGAGACAATAGGATTTCTCTATCTGCCACAGATACGGGGAGAATGAATAGACTAAAGAAGTTCTCAGGGACTGTAACAACAAGGGCCAAAGAAATATGTAAAACAGCTCATCAGGATGCAAACTGTGATCTATCTGTTGCTTAGTATAAATCAAGGTTTTAATTGTTGCCAGGAAGGCTGCATGTCTTGCAGTTTCTCTTGCTGCTGCATTGGGCAGCCAAGTAACCGGCACGATTGCTAATCTTAACGTTGCCTTCCCACAATTTGGAAGTGTTGCTTTCTCATGTTTAAATGCACAAGCTGTGACTGGCAAGGTGGGTTCTGTTCCCCGTCTTGCAAATCCTGTGACATTCGATATATATCTATCCCCTCTGTGACTAAGTCTTGTAATTTATATAGTACTTAGTGGTCTCTAGATGAAAATATAAACATAAATTATTGTTACTGAAATGACTACTGCACTCCAAATTGCTAAGGCAGTAAAATAATCTTTAATGTGTATATTTCAAATAGTCAGTGGTTTGAAACTTACCATTTCTGTTTCAGATTTGTAGCCAACAGTACCCTAAGCTTCCTGTGACATATTTCTCTGGAAAACTGATATTTTAGAGGGAGCAGGAGGCACAGCCATTCAGCCACTGCTGTCACTATAAATTATAGCAAGTATGGCCTTAGACAGAAAAAGTGCATCTGATGCTGGGAATTTCATGAGCTGCTTTTTTTTAGTGCAATGCCTTGAGGATGAAATGAGCCTAGTATGCCAAATGTTTTAGCAATGGTTGTGTTTTATTTGTTTATGTATTTAGGCAATATGCACCCCCCCCCATATATATATACATATATGTATAAAAAGATAATGAGGATGAGAGAGAGAAAAAAATCGCAAGCAGTTGTGTGGGGAGACTTCAGAAGCCCTATGCAAAAAATTGCTTTGGGATGATTAAGCAATAGCATGCTGTGGAAGAGACTCCAGGATCTGCAAGTCGCATCTTTTAAGGCACTTTTGATTAGTGAAGGTAGGGTCTTCTATATTAGCCTAAACACTCTTCTCTCATATGAGTGGAGAGGCATGGATAGGGGATCATGGCAGTAAGTGCAACAGGCAGGCATTTGTGTTTATGTGGGACCATGGGTAGGCACTCCACTTGGAGACTGGCCACAGATATTGCAGGTGCCTTTCTTCCCATTTATTCCAGAACCGCTTGCCGATTTGTGGTACTTCACATTCTAGAAGAAAATCCTATTGAAATCCTGTGTCTTTATATTGACTTTCAAAACTGCACCAATTTAGTCAAGGTCCTCCCTCTTTCCCCCCGTGAAGGCTGTTGTGGATCTGACCTCATCACTGTTGTCTACCCACAATGATCCTCTGTCAGCAGCCATCATGTGTAGGTCTGCCAACAAGGAGGCTTTCCTGCAGGCTGCAAAACCACCAAAGCACTCCCAAAAGAAGCAAATTATACAGGTTAGGATACTCAAATGCCAACACTTTGCTGTGCGTCTCCCCACTGGTGTTTCAGTTTCTGCTTAGCCCAACTTACACGGACTTTTAGCTGTACATCAAGTTATTCCCTAAGGCACTATAAACCACCCCCTGCATCTCCTCCCTATCTCCCTCCCTCCCTTTCCTAGGCAATAAATGAGGATGTGTAAAGAAAAGAGATTTGAGAAAAATATTGGAACAATACAGGAATCTTCCCTTCTGTGCCTAGGAAGGGGGTACATAAAAGAGCAGTGCAGTTCCCCTCAGATTTATCTCTTATTTCCAGTTTCTACCCTACCTTTAAGCATCTCCTTTTGAATGAATGCAATTTCCACTCTGGTAATCTGAGATGCCTGCAGCATGGCCACAAGAACTAAATTTTCACAAAGCACTGGCACATTTCCCTGAAGAAGAAAAAGGGGCCTCTTTCTAGAGAATATTTATAGTGAAGTAAATATCATATCACCTTCAATTATATTAAGTAATATGTCATTTTATCACTGCCTTTAAGGAGCAGGTGTCACTTGGTATTATTTGAGATGGCAGTCTTATCACATACTGTAAGTCAGAGCTTCTCAAAACCAACTGAGGCAGTAGAAATTAGAGTAGCTAACTGTCTGTGTCCACTTTGATTACCTTGATTGTCCCTTAGAGTAAAGTTGGGGTTGTTGGCTGCCTCAGGAGCCAGGCTGTAGTAGAAGTGCTGACCCTCCTGTGGGTCATCCCGGTCGATGGCGCTCACTGTCTGAATCAGCTGCAGAATGCAAGAACAAAGCAGAAGCAGATGAGAATCAACCCCAACACCGCTCAGGAACTGAACTTTATGTATAAGTATACACATAAGCAGCTGAAGCATTTGAACAGAATTATCTTACAGAGGGACAAGAGATGACTCCAGAAGAGGCTCAAAACCTTGTAGGCTTCATTTTATTTTGCTGGGAACATGCAAATCACTTTTAAACAAAGCAGGAAATAGCTTAATTAAAATAACAACAATTCTCTCCTATGCTTCCCTATCTCCTCTCACATATTTTTCTTTTCTTTTGAGGCCCCAAGGTGTTCAGAAAAGAAACTGTGCACTGGAGAACTTGTGGGAAAGCTCATACTTATTTTCAGCTTCATTTTGTAGGTAGAAAAGGACCTCAGATTGATTTTTTTATCACTCTCTTAGTTTTAAATCAATTAGGCTATTCCTAAGAAGTCAGTGGAAATAAAGAAAGAAAATGCAGCCAAGCAAACACTCCCTATATGCAACAAATAGCACTGCGGAAAGAAGCTAAGACAATACTAAATCCAGAAAGAGATTTGTCACCTCACTAAGGAGGTTTAGCAAAGCAGGTCTAATGACTTCAGGCACAGTGAGCTATAGCTCTGTCTGAGTAAACATTCTGACACGCTTTTAGACAAGATGAATAAATCTTCACCTGGATTTTTTCACTCAAAGTTATTTTTGGATTGAGCAGTGATAGATCCATAAAGTCTGATTTAGCACATTAAAACTGACTTCAGACTTCCCAAAATGTGGCAACAGTATTGGCTTTCTTCAGCAAAGAAGCAATCCAAATTAGTATGTATTTCTTGAAAAGCTTAGTATTTAGAACATGCTCCTTTCAATACCATGAAAAAAATAGACCATGATTTCTTTTCCCTGCGATGTTAAGGGACTTCTTCAATTAGTGGGGTGAAAGTATCCTGTATACGAATGATCTCAGGACAGTTGTCCCAGCAGTGAACTGCTATCTCATTCTGCTTCACAGCAACCCTGGAGAAGCTTCAGTGAAGTCAGGCGATGGGCTGTGATATTGCTAGTATAATTTTTTCCTTCACAAATCATGAGTTGTGCACCTGCCTGTTTAAGCTGTGTTAGCTACCTGTGTGTTTGGAGACCAAGTCCACGCTGTGGACACTGGATGGCGAACTGCCAGGTCGCATCCCCCAAGCAATTAGCGGTAGAGCTCCTGCTGACCCCAGCCAGGCAGAGCTCACGTCTGTCTGTGGCAGAGGCAGACCTTATTCAAGGGCTTTTATGCAGTTTTGGAAGAGAGAGCAGCACAGAGGCACCTTGCTCGGAGGCATTAATTTACAGTATATGAAGCTGGAAGTCCTGTGTTATCTACAAGTCTCTGTAATCCTCGGTTCACATTGTGGCAGAACAGATTCAGCTCGTCACCCCTTTGAAGCTGCTGCAGTATATTATGTCCAGCTCCCATAAGTCAGGGGTGTTTAAGGCTCTTATAAATAGGGTCTTTTAAAAGTAAACCTTGTCTGTCACACATAGGCCCAACTGCTTGAAACATTTTTCCTCTCTTTGTTGCTGCTACAGAACGTACTGGATGTTTGCCTGCTGGCACCTTCCCAAGGCAGGGCTTTTTTCAGCAATGATGTGCGTTGTGCAGTGAGTTTGGAGACTGCTGTGGGAGAAAAAAAGGGTGCTATATATGATGTTAATACTGACGTGATGTGCTTGCCTCTGCAAAGCAGCACAGGCATCAGAGGAGGCATTCACAGGCTACTGCTAAAGAGAGTTCAGATGAAGAGCCAAGTCCTGTTTTAAAGGCTCACCATTTCCAACGCAGTATCTCCATGCAAGGCAACATGCAACCCTCACGTGGGCATCACCAGCATTTCTCACCTGGCCGGCTTTGGCGTTTTCACAAACAAAAGCTTCGTAGAACCTTGCAAACTCTGGTGCGTTGTCGTTCACGTCTAGGACTTTCACTGTCACTGAGACACTGCCCACCTGTGAGGGATTGTCTAGAAAAAGGAAGAGCAAAGTAGAGAAAAGGAATTTACAGCAAGGGGAAATGGCTGCTCCTTACTCTATTGAAGAGGTAAAGCAACTTTTTTGCTACAGACTCGCATTAAATGACGTTATTTTATCTGGAACTGTGGTCCTTTCCAGAGAGTATGACTGAGAATTACGTTCTAAACGCCCTTCTATCTACCCTTGCTTTCCATCTTTTTGAAATAAATTCCTTCAGGCATGGATGTCTTCAACCTGGTTTACTCCAATGGGTTTATTTCTGTAACGAAAGTTTTAGACAGTGCCTCGCAGTTACTGCTTAACTGGGAAATATTGTTTGTTGAGTCTTGGTATTAATGGCATGAGTTAGGAACAGACTCTTTTTAAGGATAGGTTCGTTATCTAGAGCTTGTTGACCATGATCATTCTGCAATTTATATATGTTTTTCCTCAGATTTTGTATGCCTTGAAGACAAAAATATTGGTTTCAGTTTTTTTAATACTTTATACGGGAGGTTAAAACATAAGAACACATGAAATTGCTCAGAAAAGCTTTCATTGGAGCTTAAAACTACAATGAAAATTTTATGTTCTGCATAACATCATTTGTGATATTTCTGTCCTACTGGTTCATTAGCTCTCTTCCCCAGTAAATCCAGACATCTTTTCACATATCGTCACAATTTCTAATCTTACTCTTCACAGAATAAATACAATTTTTTTCTTTCTGTGTTTATCTGCCCCAGAACTCCTTTCTCCCTCATTAAATGACAAAATGGAACTCTAAGCACAAAGGACAAAAAAATGATTTAATGATTAGGAGGTCGGAAGGGTATTGAAAATCCAGAAAATTCTTAAAAGTTCTTAAAAATTAAGCTTTTTCTTTTCCCTGTAGCAGTATCACCTCAGGCATTTATCCCCAAATACTTCTCCCTTTGTAGCATGAAACGATATGTTCATATAACTAACAGAGAATTTTCTTATACTCTGGATTTCCCTTAAAGGCTTAATCTGCTCTATCAAAGCATGTGTCATACTGCATCACTGCACTACTTACTCTTAAACTTTATTGTTTCTCACTAACTAATAATTTAACCCTTCATTTTTCCACATATGCATACATATTTTGCTAAGGCACTTGTGGCGTATGAAAGCCTACATTTATACTCTTAGTAGTATTGACCTAATTTTTGAAATTAGAAGCTTTATTCAAGAATGCACTGTGCAACTATGGCATTTTTGAATCTATTCACTAAATTAAAACATTGTGCTGCACATCTACAGAGCAAAACAGACCGAGGACTGATGGAGGATGAGTCAAAGGAATGAATACCTTCATATTGCTCTCACCCTAAAGTGCTGCTGCAGGGATAGCTTTTACACACTCAGTGCGTGCAAAGATACATACAGTTGCAATGACTGCTCATGGCTGAAAGTAAAACTAGCATTAAAATAGAGGGGGTGATATATTCTCCTGGTAACTTCATATTGGCTGACTGGGATTTGGGTAAGCTTCCTGAAAAATTTTTCCTTTGAAAATACAAGTGTGTGTTTCACAGTTCAGATTTTCACAGTTTTGCAGATTTTTTTTTTTGCTGCAGAGGTGAAAAGTAGCACTGCATATGCAGTTCTTCTATAGCGCTTTTAGTCTGGGAATAAAGCTTCTTCAAACTGCCCTGTATTTCTGGTACAACCTGGCTGTCTAGCAAGCTCCCTCAGCTGCGAGGGATCGCTCCGCTATTGGCAGCAAGCTCCCGAAGAGCTGCCATGTTCATTCATTACTGACGCAGACCAGATTTAAACCAGAGACCCAGGAGTGAAAGGCTCTTTGCTGCCTGTCATTGCCTGAGCCATGCAAGCCTCCTAGGTAGTCTTGGCTCCTCTGGCAAAGCTGCACAGCCTTTGCAGCGTCTGCTTTTGTTGCCCAGTTCTTTTGGAGACATAGAGCTCTTGCTGCATCATATTTCAGAAAGAGTTTTAAATAAATCCCTGGAATACTAATGAGCTGAAAAAGCAGCATTCTGCATTTAATTGACAGCCTCTACTCCTCCCACGACTCTGCAAACAGGAGCGTAAAAAGTAAATAAAATGCGGTATTTGCTTGTTCATGTTGGAAAACTAATTCAGTTAATATGGCTTCCTACTCAGTGCATAAGAACATGCGAATTGCTGAATTCAGGTCTCTCGATCTGCTTTGTCTATTATCTCTTTAATCTATCTACAGTCTGCATTCTCCTTACTCAGCTCCATGGCCAGCACAGTGATATTGTGCCAAGAAACGTCCTCCCGGTCAAGAGGTCTTGCAGTCATCAGTGCTCCTGATGTAATGTCGACATAAAAGAAACGCCCTGGATCGCTGCTCCTGTCGATTGAGTATCTGCAAAAGCACATATTAAAAATATTATGCAACCCTTGTGAAAACAGTGTGTTATAGCCAACAAAGTACTCCAGCAATGGGAATGCTGTTGTATGCAGCAGATCCATTCACCCACAAAACCCAGTTGCTCCATTGACTTCTGTAGGTACAGAACAAGGGACTTGAAAATTTGGGAGTATACATGGCTGTGAGCACTATTTGCATGGAGCTGGAAGACAGAAAGATTTAAAAGAAGAAGCCTCAAAGCAAGGCCCTAAGAGGAGCTCTGCACAGGAACATCTGCTTTACAGAAGAAAGTCTGTCAGGGAGGAGTGCAATTTCTTTTTCTAAGCAAAATAATTATACCCTTTCCTTGGGCACAATTTAGACACTATGAAAATGACTTTACATCAGCTCATTCTCTGTGCACTTAGGCAGATGAGGAGAAACTGTTCCTTTCCTTGTGCCTTTGCGTTCCCTCTTCTTTTACAGGAATAAACTCCACCTGCATCCTGGACCGCTCCACTGACAGAGCAATGCCCACGCAATGCTGGGCGACACAGTTTTCTCTTATAATCCAGCCAGAAAAACCAATTTCCTCTCCAAGGCCAGTTCATCTTCATTACTAAACCTACCTGGACAATATCATGTCAATTTAGTGCTGGGAGCAAGCTTGCACCTGTGAGCAGGGGAGCGTGGCGTTACGTGCAGGCCAGAAAACTCGGGCAGGCAGGCAGTGGATGGATGGCTGTCAGTGCTGTGCTCCTCAGCCAGAGGGTCACCTTGCCCAGTGCCACCACTGCCTGCTGGGGCAGCAATGGCTCTGGGCAAGGAGAGGGTCCCAGAAAGGGGCTGCTGCCAGCTTTGCCCCTGCTTTTTCCCAAAGGAAAGAGGCAATTTTAGCTGTGCGTGCTACATGAGCGTCCAAACTCTGCCTCCCAGTGACGCAGCCGGCCTTTCTGCTGCCGCTGCTGCCCCGTGAGGTGGGAGATGTCTCGCTATTGCTGGGAGGCTGCCTTGCGCAGCAGCAGCTCCCTTGCCTCCCCTCCCTCCTACGGCAAGGGTTCGGTACGGTCCTCACTGCTTAACTAAATATAGCCCTCACTGCTCAGAAGCATCCCTGAGACTATCTCCTTATTTCCGTGAAAAAAGGTTAAGCATGCTCATACTTAGTTCCTAGGAGGAGCAAATTCCCTTTTTTGCCCTCCTGTGTGAGAGGCAGCTGTTGCCCCTTGCAGGAAGAGCTGCAGACTAAGTTGGACCACAGCCTGGGGCTGGGGTGAGCATGCCACCCTCGGTTCGCAAGCACTCGCAGGGCTCCTGCAGGCACCTTGCTTCTGCCCCGAGCCTGCTTCGCATGCTGAGCCAAAGCTGGCTCAAGTTTGTATCTCCCTATTTTTCTTGTCTAATCTCTAGTGGATTCCAAGTTTCAGGGGCGATATCTTGCAGAACTGTGTTTTACTCGTTCTGTATGTGCTGTGTTTGCCACTGGGGTGCGTGGATGTGTTTCTTGCCTCTGATATGTCAGAAATACTCTCAGGTTTCCTATCAGTCAACAGCTTGCACAAACCATGTTCATTCTGTTTTTCCCTCAGCAGTTGACTAGACTGGTGGCACGTGCGCTTTTTGCAGGGAGCAAATACTCAGTACCCTTTATATGCATCACCTCAGTTTTAACAGCAATTTGTACAAATCCCCTTCCTAGCTAGTCATCTTAGCATGGGAAGAGATCCTTCGGCAAAAGTCACACCTGTGTTAATGTAAATGTCACAGCTTAGAACAGAGCTCAGACTTACTCCCATTTTTGCTGGTTCTTTCTTCAAAGTTGATGGGAATTTAGGACATCAGTCATAACAGATGCTGAACAGGGCATATTGTTCTGAATTTTCTCCTTTCAGCATAAAAGCACTCCCTAGAACAAGCATGCCAGCCTGATTTTTGTACAGGGACATGTTAAACTGGGCATATACAATACTATTGAGCTATGTCATGGGGAAACAAACAACGTTCTTTTACACATTTTTGAAGAGACATGAGAGAGGGTGGAAAGGCAGGTTTGCTTCCTTTCGCCTTCCAATCCCTCCCATCTCTTTATACATAAAGAGATTTCTGAGGCATTTAATTTATTTAGGAAATAAGTATGAGTGTTACTACATTTTGCTATAATAATTATTCTTGTATGAGGGCTATAAAAAGAATTTCTCTTTGACAGTTTAAGGGCAATGAGTATCTGAAATTGAATACGGCCTTGTGATTAGTGGTGCAGTATTAATCACTGGTGTCAAGAGGCACAGGCGGCGTCTTTCTTTGTCTGGATTCGCCACACACTTTCTCCTGTTAGTAATATCTGCTCTTTCACACTTATTTCTACTGTAGTGTTTAGCTGATCTTCCTTAGTCACTTAACAATAAACAATGTATATTTCCAGCAATCAGAATTTCACAGTGTAGGAGTCCAGATACCGGGAGCTGGGAAAATCAAGATTTGAGCGTTCCCCTGTGTTTAGAGAGCCCTTCTGAAGTGCATTCTGGCTTTTCTGCGCTTGGAAAAAATGTCAAAAGGCAGGATCAGACCACAGTTTTAATTGCAGATGGACTTCATCTTGGATAACAAAATATATGGAATGTTATTTTTTTTATCTTGCCTCGCCCTGTGTGCCTGTGCAAAGTGAATGCAGAGCAAATCTAAAACATTGCCAGACGGATGCTGCACAGGGTTGGCAGGAATGAAGATGACTGCGTAAGAGGCAAAGAATATAAGAACCAATTCTTAATGTTTGTATTTGAGCTGTTATTACAAATAGTATTTATTCTTTTTTTTTCTTTTTCCTTTACCCTAATCATGTATAATCTGTATGTACAACGTATGGGAGGAGGAGGGAGAGAAGGAAGAAAGGAAGAAATGTGAGAAGGGAGGACAGTGGGAAAGAGGCGAGGAAGGTGGGAAGGAACACAGTTACGAAGAAAATTGTGTATATTTTTAACTGCTTCCTTATTAAAATATAATTTTAGTGATGCATTCCAAGCTTTCTAGAGTGCTGTTTTATCAGGGGTAGTCACTGGAAAGCTCTGAAGAAAACTAAGAAAAAACTCATTATATACAACAATGAACCCTTTTACCCTCTAATAGTCCACAGAATTATTTTCATGCTATTTTAAGCAGATTTACACAAAGCTGTTTGCACTGCAATGTTTGGATAATGTTAGACAGTAACCAGCAAAATAAGATGCTAGTGGAAAAAAGTTTAGGACAATGCAACTGCGATGCAGACAAAGTGTAATACTTTAGTTTGATTGAATAATTTGAGACAACGTCACGAAAAGTATGGTAACATCATAACATAGGTGGAAAAGGTAGATATATTAAGGTAGGGGAGACAAAAAAAATTAGAGCAGTTACACAGAAAGCAGCATCATTAAGAAGAAAAGGCTTTATGTCTGCTCAGATCTCCTGCCTGAAGCTCACAGAGCTGCTCATATAGACTTCACTTCCTCCAAAACTCCAAATACTGTATGTTTGGTTTCCCCCATATGTCTCGATACTGGTCCTGAATCCAGACAATTCAGAAACTGGACTGACGCAAGCTTAGGAAAACAGCAGGTCAACACCTTCTTTTTCACAGATGAGAGAAACTTTTTAACAGCTGACCTGCTGGGGTTATTATCTTGCAGTTATCCAGAGCTTCTGCAAGTTGTGAAAATTAGTATGTGGGATGGCCTCAGAGAAAAGCAGCCTTTTCCGTTAAACTGGGCTGACTTGGCAGTCACTATGGAAATGAGCACTGTGATCACACAAATCTGCTCCTTTGGCTCCTTGCTGAGTTGCAGCTATGAAGCTCCCATGACTGTAAATGCATCTCTTACTTTTCTTAACTCCTTATGGGAATATCTAGCTCTGCAGATTTGACCAGACACGGTATAATTTAGTGGTTCCTGCATATTTATTAGCATGCACTCAGTTGTATATCTGAGCTATTGACAAAGACAGGTTGCACATAATAATATATTTGAAAGAGAAGGGGGAGAGAGGAGAAGCAAGTTGGTCGCCTTCCCCTTGGTACTACAGCAGGTTCTTGGTAAAATCAGCAGCATCTTTGGGTTCTGCCAGCCAAGGCTCCTAAGGTCACCTTGTTGGCCCATCTACCTCACATACCAGAAAACACTGTCCGGGGACACACTAACACAGAACAAACCTGATTGAGTTGTTGATTACATCTGGGTCCTTGGCAGAAATTATCTGTATGGTGGTCCCAATCTCCACATCCTCAGGCACTTCCACAAAATAAAAGCTGGGCTCAAACACGGGGGGTTCGTCAACATCTTCAACACTGATATGGACGGTGGTGGTATCTCGGAAAGGACCCAGGTTCAAGAACCGCATTTCCAGATGGGAGTTAGCACCCTCTACTTTCAAAGTATAGCTTTTCTTGCTCTCAAAACTTAAAGGCTGAGAAGAAAAAAAAGATCTAGCATTAGGCACTTTGAGCCATATGCTTTAAGCCCTATCCTTCTAATTTTCAGAAGTAAAAGATGCCCTCTACTATAAATTGATTCTTCTTTTTTTATTTAAAAAAAAACTCTGCTTTTTAAAATGATTTTTAAGCATAAGGGTATATATTTATCGTAACATAAACATTTGCAGATGGAAGTAAAGCACAGAGCTGCAGTAGTATTGGGAATGACACTGTCTATTTTTTTTTAATTTGACAGTTGAACTAAAAAACAGGGAGACATATTTGCAGATCACACCAAAATACATATTCTTCCATCCTTCTTGCTGAAATGAAAATAAAAGCAGCCATATCATCATTGTGTTGTGATTCATACAGCATGTTTCATTCCACTTTGGGGGTGAAAAAAAGACGGAAACATTTCACTTATACTTTGGGAGCACCTGAAAAGAAGGTGAAGATATGAAGAGCTGGTTCCTCAAAACTGGCCACGGTGGCAGTGGTAGGGCAGTGACAAGGGCATTCACACGCGACATGGAAACCCCAGTTAGGATCCCTGTTTCTCCCTGATGAGTTCTGAGTGCATATCTCGAGAAAGCCCTGTCTACTCAGCCACTAAATGGCTCGAGTAGATGTAAGAGGACATGGCCAACCTCTCTCAAGGGGTGCTGCTCCAGTTTGTATAAGTAATTCATCCTTTCTGAAAGTGAGACCTTTCACTTCCTCAGTAAGTATCCCAAACACAGGTTCAAAATCCAGGTGGTGTCGGCCTAGAGCATATTTTAACTTGAAAGTGTTATGAGTTATCCCTGACCTCTTCCTGTTGAAGGTCTTCCACTTCGTATGAAATACTTAAGTACTATTTGCAATGGGAAGTGGGAATGGCTCTGTTTATTACTGAGCTAGTGGATAAATAGGGACCGGTTTCCTCTGTTAGCAGCTTCACGAATTCAATTTTCTACCTAGATAAAACTATTTAGTGAACATGGATTTACATTTGTAAGTGGGGATTGTAAATGGGGATGTAATGGGGATGTCAACACTGAACTTTTCAATAAATAAATCATTCATTTCTCTGCCCCCTCTTTTTCACTGATCTCTGAAGAAAATAAAGCCTCTCCAAAAGCTGCTTAGATCTGAATGTAAAATTCCATATTTCATGTGTAATTTACCAATCTTCATAAGAGATAACAAAAAAGATCTGACAACCAGATTGACAGTATAAAAGGCTCAGCCTGAAACATATGAAAGTCTTTCACCAAATCAAATACATTTTACAGAGGACACAGTCATACTTTCCAAGTTGCAGAAGTTATAAGCAATCCCACTGCAAACTGCGTCTCTTAGCATTGTACCAGTTAAGTGTTCACAACCCTTTACTTTTACAGTCCGGGGAGTTTTAATGCTGAAAACCAGCACAACTGGATCCCGTTAACTGGCACAGATCCTGAGCAAGACGAATGTTGCACTGAAAAAGAAATGGCGCAGCTCTCAGAGGTGCAGGGTGGGCTAGGAGATATTTCTTTCTGTTACATGAATGGCTTTGAAAAAGTGTGGATTTATTTGTAAATAAGGATTTGAGCGTGCTGTGTGGAAGTGCCTTGCACAGACTCTGAGTTCATTCAGTCTCCTCTAAGACCACTGTTGTCCCCATCCTGCAGCTCTGTTATTCCTATTCAGCTCTCTCTTTTGAAGACTTGCTGCCTGACAGGGGCAAGATGGGCAGGAGGATGGCGAGCCATTTGGAAGATACAGGTGTAAAACTCATTACTGTAGCAGTGAAGTCCTCCTTGGCCCGTCGTAACACATCTCTTTTCCTCCCTAAGCAGTGGTGCAGCTGGGCAGTTCTGCACCCATCAGGTGTACGTTCTCTTCATGAGCAAAGCAAGTTTTCTAGTGGGAAAGCATTACTGTGGGCCTCAAAATGCCCCCTGAATTCACTGGAGGCTTCAGTTCTTGTCTCCTGCCACAACAGCTTCTTTCTTCAGAGATGAGAACATGTAAGTGACACACAAAGACTCATATTTTCTCAGTAAAATTACCAGTACTAAGAAGTTCTGCATTTGAAGGGCTGACTAAAGACTGGAATTTTGCAAACTATGGAACTAAAACTTTTTCAGCATTTAATACATGGGGGTGAGAAATGAAGACTGGAATGGGACCTGCTTTTTTTGTGTTGGGGTGGATGCAGGTCCAATATAACTGAAGAGTCTGTGCAGTGATACAGCATCAACTGTGCAACCTATGGCAGCAGGTACAAAGGGTCCGAAGCTTACTTTTTCTGCCCTTTGTTCCACCTGGTAATTCAGCGACTACTGCATGCACTGTACTTGCTAGCAAGGATTTAAATATCTCTACAAGTATGTTACACGTTACTACAAAGTCATTATGGTCTACTAGTTGCATATTTATGCATTTATGTATAAATAGCAATAAAATATATTCACATGACCAAGCAACAGTTATTGTCCATCTGGTAAGGAGCATGCAATACAAAGCTGCCTAAATATATAGTAAGAAAAGAAACCATTACATATCCTGGAACACTGCATGTATACTAAAAGCTAAGTTATAAAAAGACGAGTTAAATCACGGAAACCCCTAATAGCTGTAAGATCCAGCTGCATTAAGAAAAGACTTAATCACTTAAAAGACTCAAGTTAGAAAAAGCAGAAAATCAAACAAGCGTGATAGGCCTTCACATTTTTGCTGCTTCTGGGCTCAGGCACCCTCAGTTTGCTTGGACTCCTCCATCTTTGACCGTGGCTCCCTCTCCGTTACTCGCTTTTCCTCCCAATTCTTGCATGTACCACGCCTCAATACTGCTTTTGCTCTCAGTAGATTTCCCTTCTGCTGGTGTGTTCAAACCTGCTTTCAACAGTGCTCCTGTGAGGAGGACAAGGAGGCTGCCCTTCTCCTGTGAGCAGAGCGCACTGCGGGTCACAGCTGAGAGACAAGCATGGAAGAAAGCACCAGGCACCCCACGAAACCCCTCCTCATCCTCCTCCCAGTCAGACCCCTGGGGCCAAGAAAGGACCAAGAGATGTACAGAGCAGGCACGACTTTGGAGGAGCCTCTGTGAGAGAGCTTCACCAGGCAGCCGTGCAGAAGGAGGCAGGCCTGGGGCTCTCTCCTGGGGAGCAGGGTGCTGCCTTACGTATAACCCATTTCCTACCGGCGGCGTGAAAACAAGGGCAGGGAGGAGTGAGCAGCAATTACTAGCGTGAGTAACAGCCCCACAGATAGGGAGTTTTAAAGGAACTGTTACACCTCAGGAGGTGCTCAGCATTTTACAGGATTATTTTACTGAGATAAACACATTTAAAGAATTGGCAATTTTATTTGTAACTGTAAATTCTAACTTATAGATGTTCATGAGAGAAGCAGGATTAGCAATAGCTGTTGTATCTGGGAAATCCCTCCAGAAAAATAAAAGGGAAAGTCTTTCTTTCAAAGAAGATTTCATTCTGATTTTAGAAATACGTATCTACACATATTTACATTTTCACTGTCATATGCTTTTCTATTAATACCAATTAAATACATTTTTTTTGGGTCAAGTGGATCTGAAATCTGGATCTAAGGACAATTTTCCCAATGTTTGGCTATTGATAATAATAACACTACCAAAAGCAACAGTCATATAGAAAATTTTACAAACATTTATATACAGCCGCTGAGTTGAGCAGTGTATACTTGATATCAGTACATATCTGTTATGATCAATGCCAGAGTCTTTTATGCGTCCTCCTCCTGACATACATGAACAGCTACTAAAACTGTATTTACAATAAGCAAAGGTAAGCTTATTGACACTTTTACTGCAAAGAAAAAATTTCTTTTCTTCAATAAATGAATGAAAACTTACATTAAGCTTTTCATTCAACATCAATTTCATTCCACCAAAGCACTTAAGCACATGCTTTGCTTCAGGGACTAGTGCCCATAAACAAGTACTGGAGAGAGGGGATCATAAATACATACTTAAATGCTTTGCTGTAGGGCATAGAGACTTGCAGGGTCAAATGTATCCCATGTGTCGTTCCATTTTAGTAGTTAATTTTGTCCCAGGCTTTTTAAATGGAGAATATATTTCCTTATGAGTACACTAGATACACCTAGGCAGAAATACGGTTACAGTTTCAAAACCTAGAAAGAGTTTTCAACTTCTAGCATTTATGTAAGACTGTAGAATAAATATCTAATAGCAGGCAGTCTAAGCAAAATACTCTATTCCTTTCTGCATAGCCTGCGGTACAAAGTACTAGCAGTTCCACAGCTGCCATTTTAGAGACAGCTTCTTCTAGCCTAATTAGCATTTATGGATTTTCAAGCAGCAATTAAAAAAAAAACTGCCTGGGTTTTATTGGTTTATAAATAACTCTAAGGCTTGCTTTAGTATTGTTTCTGGCACACCGTAATGAAAAATGTGTACAGTTCAAATGCAAATATTGATCTAATTTCTTCCATTGTAGGATAATGAAGCTACAGAGAATATTTATATAGATAAATACTGAATCAGAACATTCCTCTGGTGGGAAAGACATGTTTATGACAATGCTGTCCCCACTTTTTAAGGATGCTCCTAAGAACACACTCCGTTTTCATATTTCAGCAATGAATGTTAAAAAAATTGCTTTATAGCAGGGAAGGGGCTGCTGTCATGTAATGCGAACCACATTACTGTAGGCATAAGGGAATATTGCACATATAAAACGTAAGCAGGATGGTTAGCTGTATAAATTACTATAAAAAGGAAACTTTACTACCTTTCTCACAGTTATGATGCCAACTTGGTAATTAGGATCGGTGTTAATATCAAAGACGTCCAGTCCGTCTCCATCCACAAGGCTGTATTTCATCTCCGCGTTAATGCCTTCATCCAGGTCTTTAGCGACCACGCGGCCCACGGTTGAGCTGACGGGAGCGGACTCCAGCACGCTCATCTGGTAGTGCTCTGGCACAAGCGGCAGAGAGGGAAAGGGGAGCAAAAAACAAGTGGTGAAAAGGAACCAGAAACTGCCCAGCAGTTCAAAGGGCAGGTTAGGGCAGGCTATAAATAACACTGCGTAGTCTGCAGGGAATCTCAGGTACCTTTCCCAAGGTGGAAACAGCAGTGTCATTTCCATTTAAAAGCCAAAGCCCACACTGAGTTGCCTGGGAAAGTTCTATTTTAGATAGATAGCTGTCATAGGAAGAAGTTTCTCTTCTAAACAGCAGTATACCTGAAAATGGTAACTTCAGCTGGAAAAAGAGGGCAATTAGCACTAGGGCTGTTGCAGCCTTGATGCAAGCCAGGATGTGAAAGAGATTTAACAGGACAGGCATCTTGCAGCAGATTGGCTTGTATGGTTGGAATAAACATACAAATTTTGAAGCACCACAAATCCCTCCTCACGTCTGTACGAGCTTCTTTTTCAGGCTAGAACAAAGCTTTGTGAGCTCAGCAGCTTGCCTGTTTCTTCCAAATTTACCAGTTTTTCTATTAAAATATACTGCCTCTCCCTACAAACCTTATCCTGAGCTTCACTGGTGCATCACTAATTTGCTGAGTGGCAGGCCTGGGCAAAGAAATGCTGCTACTTAAAAAATAGATTTTTAAAAAATATACATGCTGTATCTATAATACTTTCTGCCATCATACTTTATGTTCAAATCTTCCTTGGTGCACTCGCTCTGTTAATTCTGCCATTAATTTAACTTCACAAGGCAGAAAAACACCAAGGATAAGGTTTGATCTGTTACCATTTTTCCTAATCCAGAAATTGATATCAAACAGTTACAATTCATGCAACTTTGAAAACAGGATCGGCAATCACACATTCAACAAGTTGCTTTGAAAAGAGAAGAAGAAAAATGGAAGTCAATACTTCTTGCTGATTTTAGTGGAGTGCTTTGATTTAGCAGTACAGCATGCAGAAACAGATGGCGAAGAATAGCAACAAAAAGAAGTTTTTAGTTCTCTGTCAGGTGAAAAAAATGGTAAAATAAAAATTGCTTGAGATTGATCTTCACCAGTAAAGACTAGCTTTCTTTAGGAAAAAAAAAAGATCCTTGAAGGATATAATTCCATCAAACCAGAAATATGTTGCTTTCCAATTTTTAACAGTGACAGAATTATATAGGTAAATATGATCTAAAAAAATTTCTAAAAGAAAAGGCAAAATACTGCATGCCTTGCTTTGAGATACACTTCTGTAAATACAAACTAATTTTTTTGATACCAGTGGAGATTCCTGTTTTTACATAGTGCTGCCAGATAGTGCAATGCACCTTAGGTTTTAACTGTATTTTGCCACGGTTTAGATGAATCTTTACTGGAGAAGAGTCTATATGGCAAGGTACTATACCCTGACAGCACAACTACCAGACGCTCCCCTGCAGTGGCCTGGCTGGAGTGTTGGCTGAATTATCTGTCATCTTCCAGCCCTGCCATGTGTCCCTTATTCGACAGACCTCCTTTTGGTAATAGGATGAAAAGAAATAAGGCAGTAATTAGCAGCCAAAGGCAATGGCCACTAGCTGTCTAGGAACACAAAGCATCTCCTTCTTTCCTTTTTCTGTAAATTAATTTCCTGTACTTTAAAAAAGCATCACTTTTGATGATTTTGATGCGCAGAAACCTTTTCTGAAAGACAAGCTGTTGAATGTCCCATTTTGACATTTTCGAAGGAAAGTTCCCTTCTTCGATCCAAAATTTTGCCTGTCTCTAGTCATTGCTAGAATCAGTTGGAAAATGGCTGTAATTAGAGCAAACAGAGGGTTGTGCAGCTCAGCCATCCCTTTTTGCCCATCCAGTAACGTCCTGATGCAGCAGATACTCACTCTGTGGAAATCTAGGTGGATTGTCATTGACATCAGACAGGGTGATGTTGACTGTGGTTGTTCCAGCTAATCCTCCCAGCTGTCCGCCCATATCCTTGGCCTGAATAATCACTTCATAATATTCTTTTGCTTCTCTATCCATGTTCATCAGTGCTGTCCTAATTAAGCCTGTGACATTGAAGGGGGGAAGGGGGTTTCAGAAACACAAGAAATGGCATTTAAAGAGCACAAATAAGGTAGAGCTGTCTTGTTACTATATCATACTCCTGATTTAAAGAATGAGATCAGCCTCTGCATTCAGTCCCACCTTTGCTGGCATAGAGAAACTCACCCATACTAAAACTAGATTAGCAGAAGGCATGAATTTTAAAGGAGCCCGGTCAAAAGGCATCAGCTGTGGGGCAGGCTGTTCTGTTCAAAATCAAAATGTTGTCTTCCAAGGGAGCTGGAAAACTACTTCAGGAACACAGTGCGCTAAACTGAATTAAGCACCCCCCCACGCCAGTCTGAAAATGTCTGTGCAAGAGCTTAAAAGCTGAGTGAAATATGACTAGTCAAAACATAAATCCAGATGAGTTTTCCAGAGTATCCCCACATACACAGTCCTGGGAGCAACTTGAACGAAGCCCATGGGCTTTGCTGGGGTCCTTTGGGATGTACGCTGGAGTCACTGAGAGCAGAATTTGGGGAGAGCTGTGAAAGACATGCAGTTTGTGCAGGTTGTTCCCGCAAGCCAGAGAAGAGAGCAGGGAGAGGGAGCGGTGGTGGGAATAGCTACCTCGCTAGCCCTGCTAACTTTCACTCTACGCGGCCATCCCTTTCTTTCAGGACAACACTACTGCAAAAGGACATGAGGTGGCAGCAACACTTCTCATATGAAGGCTGCAAAGAGCTGGCCAAGGGAAGTGCTGGCTTTGCTAACTCACAAAAGCAGGCTCTTGCTTTCGGTTGGAAGCAGAAATTCAGAGAGCAGAAGCTGCCCAGACTGCTTGGTGGTCCTTCCTCCTCTCCCTCTACATCCGCAGTCCCTGGGGTCCTGGCCAGGTTGCTGACCTCTCCTTATTCAAGTGTTTTGCGCCTCTGTCTCAGAACATACAGCTTGGATGCTTTCTTTTTCTTTGGCAGTAGATCTATTGGATAACGCACTCATTTCCTTTCCCTGTCACCCAGCTGCCCTCCTGAATCCTACTCTTCCCCATGTTTGGCTGCCGGGATGGAGGAACATAGACTTATGTTTTTCGAGCTGCCAGACCTCTAATGCTGCATGTGTAATGCATTCCTTGGGCCTGCATGCATTCTTGCCCACTGCATGCTGGCAATTTGTGGGTTTGCAGCATGGGGCCTCTACTTCCCTCCCATCACGGCAGTTCAACAGGCTGCCCAGCCACACGAGGGTCCTCGAGCAGGGGAGAAGCAGCAGTGCAGTGATACTGCCCAGGGGACATGCTCTGAAGGGACAATTTCTTTTGTGGCAGCCAGGCACTAGGGGCCCTCTCTGAACATAGGCTGTTACACAGTTGGGGTGTCCCATTACATGGACTCCTGTAGGCGGGAAAACATGTCACATCCCCAGGCACCTGTCCCAGTCACATGGCTCAACATGCAATACTTGCACACCAGGACTCTACTAACTTGTGTGATCTGCATTTAGTCTTTATTTTTAGCAGACACACAATGGATGGGTTTAATAAATGAGCATTAAAAAGGTATTGCATTTGCAATTATCACTGTATGCCAAAGGAAAGAAATAGCGACCAGTACTGAACAATTCACAGTGCACTTTTATTCTTGCTGCCTGCATCCTTAAGAGCTGAGGAAATAACAATCTGTACCCAAGTTTCTCCTTGGATAATGCACTTATTCCATAAACTGGCAACTTTCAGAAGTGGATTATGCAGCATTTCTTTCTATTTTGCCCCCTTGGGTTCGGCAGTAACTATCCTCTCATGAGTTTCTGACCTTAACACTACGGATGCCCTTTAGAAACTGTCAAAACCTGTTAGATTCCTCTTTTGGATATATGCATTGGAAAGATACAGAAGAAGAGAGAGCAAGAGAGAGACAGAGAAAGCAAAACAGAGTGGGTGTCCTGAAGATAAACTTAAGGTTATTAACAAGTACACCCTCAGGAACTGCATACTTTCCAATCCTGACTGGTTCATAGTTTTTTTGTTTTCTTCTTTTTCCTCATTAAGCCTTGTGACCAACTAGATTGCCGAAAGACATCACTGAAATGATAGATGCCAACAAGAATATTTACAGCACCAAATACACCTAATCTCCTAACGGCAGAATTTGGTCATTTAAGTGAATATATTACTGCTGAGGGCACTTCCTTTCTCTGGAGTACATTACTATAGTGTTGCTTTAGCCCTCACATAGTGCTACTCTGTCTTGGCTCCTAGATATAGAAACATATTTCTATGATTACAGTCGTGATGCCTTTCTTTTTCTTTCTTTTTCTGCTTGAAACTGTTTCTTTCAATGTTCACATTGGCTGATTCTCTGATGAAATAACATACCCGTCCGAGAGTCCACAGAGAAATACGGTTGTCCTTGGAGAATACTGTAGACTACTCTTGCGCTATTCCCGTAAGTTGGATCATCAGCATCTGTAGCTGTCACCTGGATAACAGAAGTGCCTGACAAAAAAAGCCATCAGGTAAGACCTTGTGGGATTAAGAGCTGGGAGGAAAGGTACACAGTTCATATCAGATTAAAATTCCTTACAAGAGCTTTCTCACACTGGACTTCTCCATTTCATGCTGGCAGTGCTTGTACTTATTGCTCATACTTGCATCTCCTTAGCACTAAAGGAACTAATAGGCATAAATTCATCATGCCTCTATAAGAAAGATATAAAACAGCAAGTACTCTATGGACCATGGTTACAGAATTGCCTATTTAACAGTACATTCCTGGTGATAGTCATATGTTGCTAGCTTCTTTTCCACATTTCTTGCTTTGAAATGCTTGCTGCTTAAAGGCAGCTAAAATAACACCTACAAATACGCTGATGTAAATCAAGAATTGCTGCAGCAGATCTGTGGATGTGAAATGATGACTAAGGGATGGAAATTGTACACAAACTGTGAGCAGGAAGGGATGTATCTATGAGATAATCTCTCAGTGACATTGCAGTTTACTTTGCATGGCCTAGAGATTATATACCGCTGAAGTGCTTTTTGGAACCTGCACACAACCATATACATTTCTTTTCCTCAATTGGAAACTGGGCCACTTCCTCTGAAGCTAATTATGGCTTGCAGCTTATCAAGAACAAGGAGAAGGTAAGATATAACCATTTGAAATGTACATGAGTTTTGATTCCTTAAAATGTCAGACAATGCTTTTATGAATGCATCTAGCTTTTTACATAATGTTTTGTGTTCAGAAACAAATCTGCTGTTAATAAATATTCACTCGAAAATAAATCTGAGTTCAAATTACCCATCACCATTAGGAAACATTTTCTCTCAATGGAAGTTTTGTATCTGATGCTTGTCTCTAGCTTTAGGTCAACATTATGTGGAAGAATGAGAAGTCGAAGCAAGTCTGTAAATTCAGGACGTGTGATTTACCTGGCATTATCTCTGTAATGATGTCATAGAGCCAAAAAGCAATCAGCATCTCCAAAAGAAATAAAAAAACCCCATAAAAATAGTATTTTATAGTTATTGGAAGTTTTACGTGGAAATGATTTCTCCTGATTTGTGGAAGAAGGCTGCTATTTGCTGTCTGGCTGCATTTGCAAAAACGGCACTGTTTTTGACACAATCCCACTTTCTAAAAGTGTGGAAGAAATGGAACCATATCTTTGGGATCAGCTGCGCTGTGCTCAGCGCAGACTTAAAGGGATTAGAAGGAGTGAATTTGCCAAAAATCACCATTTTCCCATGATTTCAAGGGCTCTTGGATGGTATTTCAGTTCTCAGCATGAACCAGAATAGGTTCCTAGGAGTATTTTAACCTTTTCTGGCTCATAATGGATGTCTGATTGTCATTACCACCACTACCATCTGAACAGCAGGGGAGAAGGGGCACTGTTATTGTGAGTTATCTGAGGATGCCATGTTCAAATTGCACCTTTTCTCAGCTCTCTTTCTCCCTTGGTATGCTCTCTTTTAGAGGAGGCCAGCCACCAGTGGTGTAAAGTCTACTGTCCTTCTGTGGCACCCAGGTACATCCTGGGGAAGCTCTCCTACCCTACTGAATTGCTCCTGCAGCACAAGGGAAAAAAGCTGATTCCAAGGAGTCAGGGAATTTATGTTTTGGTGACCATGTCTAAGCTACTGAGAGGGAAAAAGCTACTGAGAGGGAAAAAGACTTTGCAAAATCTGCCTTACCCACAGGTGACATTTCTGGAACAGAGGCTACATAAGGTCCATCCAGGAACTTGGGTTCATTGTCATTGATGTCTTGTATTTTAATGATGAACTCTGACTCTGGTTCCATTGGTCTGCCTGTTCGCCTGTCCAGAGCCTGTGCCCTCAGGGTATATTGGGACCTTTCTTCTCTGTCCAGCCTCTGAATAGCATGAATGTCTCCTGTGGTATCATCAATAGTAAATACAATGCCAGCTCCTTCTCCTGACAGGATGTATTTGATCGAACCGTCTCCTCTATCCATGTCAGAATGGAGCTGTGAAAAAGAACAGGATTCAATTAGACCAAGGACTGGGCAAACAGCTAGTGAGAGACACTAAGCACACCAACATTCTGAGCATTTTGGTCTCATTGTTGGAATTCACAAGCTGGTTATAATGAACTTATTTTACCGAAACAGGCAAATATTCACTAAAGTCTATATGACAGAGGCTCAACTAAAAACTCTCTCCCGTCTTCCCATTTCTGCACCCACAGCTGTGCCAGAAGGCAGAGACACCAAACAAGAACAGGGTCTGTGACTTTTTCGGATCTTGATGATGACAAGAATTATCTTTTGACTGGTTGCAATGACCATTGAGAAGGACTCATTGCCAGGCTTGGGATAAGGTGAGGTCAGCAAAAGTGCAGAATGCCTGTACTTGCTCATCTAGCTTAAGATGAATCAGATATTTATAGCGTAGCTCAGTGCTGGAGTATATGAAACAAATCTATTTGGGATTAAGGGGAAGGAAGGATGAAAGAGTTACTCAGTAGCTTTTATGATTAAGAAATCTTTAAAAAATTTCTACATGAAAATTTTAGCAAGAAAAATTAGACTGGACCATTACTTCATCAGGAAAAATTTGTTGTCCAATAGAAGATAAAGCAAGCAGCGAGGAACATTTGATTGTGTCCATGGCAGGCTATATAGATGAGAGACATCCCAGGATTTCCTAGGGAATTAGCAAATGGATTTATTGCATGACTGCTAATTAGATCTGAGAAACCACAGATAGCTGGAAATGTAACAGAACATAGAGAAAAGTAAATGCAGCACTAATTATCATCTAAAACAGAGAAACAAATCATCCTGGGGACTACCATTCTGTTAAACACCTGGTTCCTGTGAAATATTGAAATGACTATCAAAAGACAAACAAATCACTTACTTAATTTCACCGAGACTACCAAGATGCTTAACAATGGGCTCGTACTGTCAGGCTTTGGAGGAACAGAGCTTAATGGCCTTACCAATAACCGGAGAAAGGCAGTGTGTGGTCCTGATTCAGTCTTAAAAAACAGGAAGGCAATAGAATTGGGGTGCAATAATCAAAATGCGATTGTAAAGAGTGGTTCACATGTGAATTCTGTTTTCCAGTGTGATTATGATATTGGGGGATGAATAAGTAACGAATAAAAAAACCTAGATAAAATGGCCCAGATTCAGTTAAACACATTTTAAAATGTATATGTGAGCAGCTATCTTAAGAGATATATTCAGAAATAAGTGTGTGTTTAATACTTTGGTGAGTTCATGGGACATATGGGAAAACTGTGGAGGAGGGGGCCAAAACATAGCTAAATATTCATACTAGAGAGGAAAATTTTGGAACAGTAAAGTGGATATATGAACATAGGATTGGAAGGATTTGATTAAGAAACAGGTAATTTATTTGGAAAAGTAGAAGTCAAACCTGATATACTTGATTATGGGATATTCTCTCAAGGAAGAAAAAAGAAATCTCATCTCTGGATTATTTAAAAACATATAGAAAATTATACAACAAATTTATCATATAGGAAAAATGGTTTTAGGGAGGTGCAGAAGTTGTCTTATCTGATCTAATCATTACTAATGCCAGTGGGTCAGATCTTCAGCTGTTGCAGGGCATGTGGTCCCATTAACTTGGTAGTTGGAAGTCCAGTTCCCCTATTGGTGGGACTGGCTTGAAGTGGCTCGCTCCCTGGGGATTGTTTTGCTTACCCAGAGTGTCAGAGTACATCACATGACTTATTTACACAAAACTTGGGTCTGCTCCTGATTTCAGGGTCGGGCTGATTTCAGCTGAGATGTGCTCTATATTGTTTTCTACAGCAGGAGTCCTGTGGTGGCATGTGGAGAAGTGACACTGACCACCACACAGACAGGCTGGACCTGGGCGGCCCTTCAATTCTAACCAACTGCTGTGACAAAGGAGTGTTAAAGGCATGTACCCAGCTGTTGCAGTAGCACCACAAAATGACTGCAAGAGCTGAAGGTACAGATTATGACAATTAACATGTCAGGTAATTTGTATTTTATTTCCTCTCTTGGCTACTGGTCTCTGCAGTGGTTACTGTGCCTAGGGAACACTGGTCCTTCAGAGCAATGCTGGCAGCTCTCAGGTGATGTATCAGCTAAATGGGGGAAGAACAAATCTAGATTTATTTGGCAGTGGCAAACAGTTACGCTTAGATGATTGCCATGTGCATTAATTCACACAGAGGCACCAGGACTCCAAACTGGCGTATCTTCAGGAAACAGCATTTTATGATTAATTTAAAAAAAGACACTGGTTGTCATCATTTGCCCTAAACACCCATAACTCAGAGATTATCATTGTAGGAGCTAGTAAACAGGATGCTTCCAGAAGGAGGACACTATTATAGCTTTACGAATTGATTCAGAACCACTAAGCTACACCTTGGGCATATATTTTAGTGCATTAGTGCGTCAGTGAGAGAATGCAGCTGCTCAGATAGATACAGATGCTAGACCTGACTGGGGAATTAGAGCTGGGCCTGAAGGAGGAAAATGTACATCAACAAGTCTTCATTAAATAGGAAAAATGAAAGGAAAAGAAAGAAAAAGGCAAAGGCAAAGAAAAAGAAAAGAAAAGGAAGAGAAAAGAGAAAAGAGAAAGGAAAAGGAAAAGAAAAGGAAATGGGAAAGAGAGCATATTTTAAAACAGCAGAAGGTGTTCTGGAAGATTCAAAAAACTTAGAAGAAGATACTGAGTCAAACTCACAGGTTAAATTACTCCCGGCTGCAGCCCTATTTGGAATGAATGCAGTTGTGTAAGGTGCAAACATGGAATGAACATGGCACACTAATAAGAATTTTGGCATACAAAAGGATCTCTGTCTAACTGTGATTTGTTAAAAGCATTGGATCTCAACCAAGTCTAGGCAGTAAGGAATGCTAACAGCAGTTTTGCAGCTTCTCCTGTAGCCTGCTCTTTCTAGACAAAGCAAAGAAGAGCATAAAGGATTTTATAATTCCAAACTGTACTAAATCTGAAAGAATTTGGCAGTCAGGGAGACTGAAGCTCACACAATTGCAATGACAAACCCAACATGAGGATATTGCACATTGGAATATACGTAGGATTCACCATAAAGGTTTCCACTGTACTGGAAAGGTGACCCAAACTCAAACTTGCTCTGTTTTATGGGTAAGGCAATAAATTATGCTGCCTTATGGCTTACTCAGAAGTAAGAGCAATTCCCTTGTACTTTCCTCTCCCTAATAAAGGAAAAACTATGGGAGAAATGAAGCAGATAACCCTGGAGAAATTAACTACGCCAATCTGTGTGGCTTCCTTCAATGAGGATAGGATGAAAGATTAAGAAGGCTATATCTGCATCTGAATGACATATTTCATGGTAAGGGGCACTTGGAAGAGAGTGGTACTGCTGGCAGGCAGCTCACTGAAGGAATCATGCAGCTTCAGTAACTGGGCTGTGACTCCATCCTCGGCTTGCTCTTGCATCTCTCCAGGAAGGTAGCACCTGCAGGGGATTTTACGAGGCCATGTGAGTCTGTCTGGTTGATCTGCAGTGATAGTCTGTAGAAAGGCTGCATTTTATTCACTCATTCAGCTGCTATGGTTAAAATGTCCCTTTCCTTTGAAATAGGATTAGGGAGTCTTGGACACTGCAAAGTAGGGAAGTCTATCTCCAGTTCAAACACTGAAGCAGTTTAGGCTGCTGGATGAATGTGGAAAATACCTGCTGCAGAAAATGTGGGGGCTTCGATTTCCCTAGCTCAATCCTCTTAGCCAATAACAGCTATTTCTAAGAAGGCTGAAGCCTAACATTTACAGGACCAGAGAACCCGCTGAAGCTACAGTGCTCTAAATTAGAATCATGAGCACTGGATAAAAGCAAAAATTGTACTGACTTCCTCTCAGGAAGCTCCTTTTCTTTCCCCTGTACAGAAGATATTTTGCCCCATGCTTTACAGTTCTGTAGGAAAGTACATTTTATTTTTCATAGCAGCCTTGAAAATCCTACTGTGCTAGCTTGGATGCATGGTTCAAGCCAAAGTTATTTTGGGGTTGTTCCAGTAGTACACAGCTGGCCTAAAACACATGTGAAAGGGCATCAGGAGAGTCCCTTCTCTTAGGAGAAGCCTGTAGAGTATAATAGGACTATAACTGGATCAATACTACGTACTCTTCTTCCTTCCGGAACAGGCTTCAACAAAGCAGATGAATAAAAGTAAGGCCTGGCTAGCAGGACGTTTCAGGGTGTTGGGGACGGTGTCAGAGAGGCTCGACCCAGACGTGGGACCCAGGGTTGATTCAAGGGCTGGTGCAGAAGGTGTGGACGCTGCATTTCCACGTAGCTCTGCACAGGAGGTTCCAGTGCTATTTCTGAGTAAGCCTGTGGTGATTTGGGTTGAAAAATTTCTGGCCTGCCAGAACAATTAATTCAGCCCACAGCCTATTCCTGGCTGACCCCTTTCCTAAGGATCCCTAAGACAGAGACAACACAAATACAGCTTGGATGAAGAAATCGTGGCAGGCTGCTCCTTCTTCTGAGAGCCTGGGCCTTTAGCCATACGGCAGGACGGGAAGCCCTTCTTTCGCATGGCAGCTGCCAGTGCTTTCATCGCCCTACTTGGACGGCTGCTCTGCACCCAGTTTGGGAATGGGAGAAGATAAACTATTTGACCCTCAGAGATCCACTTTGGCAGATAATATCCTCAGTGTTTGGGGTACACGGAGCAGTGCAGAGTTAGCAAGTCCTCAGAGCGATCTAGCCATGTCAGCTCAGCAGTGTGTGGGGCTAATTGGCACTGCTAACAGTGAGAGTTAATTAGCCCTTGCACATCCCTGTGCTGACACAGCCATAACACATGTGCTCCTGGAGACAGCTCTCTAAGTATAAACTGAGGGATCTTGGCAGCTTGGGCCACTGTGCAGTGAACACAGATCATGAAGAGTCATCTCTGTTTTGCCTCTTTCAGCTGAGCTGAGCGAGATGAAGAGCCCTGTTGACCACTCCAACTTTTTGTGCTCCCAATGACACAATCAAGTCCAAAACAAAGATGAGTCAGTTTCTTGCAGTACTTGTTTTAGCTAAAATTCAGCTCACAGTGCAAGCTCGGAATCATTTCAGGTAGAATTGTGTACATGTAATAATATGTCTGGCCCTTGTTCCAAAGCTGGGAATTGCATGAAAATAAATACTAATTTCTTGAATCAATAGAGATATAAAGAGCTGAAGTGTTAGGTGTAGAGATGAATCAAGACTAATGAGGTCTCATTTGATGGCAATCACTAGTAATGCTACTGCTGTGGGAAGAAGGAGAGAGTGCACATCTTGCTGTCAATAACACAGGGATAAATCAGGAAAAAGTCCTTTGAAGCCAATAGATTCATTTTGATTTATCCTGGTGTGACTGAGGGCTCAGTTTAGCTCTACGGAGTTGCAGAGTGATAAATAAAAGTCCCAAATGGACTTCTGGCTTTGTTATTTTTTTTCTGCAGATGGATAGCTTGGAAGGA